TCACTAAGAGAGAAGGAGAGAGAGAGAGAGAGAGAGAGAGAGAGAGAGAGAGAGAGAGAGAGAGAGAGAGAGAGAGATCGGGTTCAGGGTAATAAACCATTTGCAGTAAACGAAACTTCAGGCGCAGCCTGCCCTGCCCGCTGTACCTTGGATTCAAAATGCCACAAGTTTATTATAGCCTTGTACAGCAATGATTTTTTTATTTTCCAGGGGGAAGGGGCAGAAATAGCAATTAAAGTCGAACCTGTATAAGACAGAATCGCAAGGGAGCTAGAAAAAAATTCCGTCCTTGACATTTTCTATCTTAGACAGGGGAATTTAGTGGGGTAGTGGAGGAAGGAAGGGGGGGTGTCAAAGGCCCAACCGATGGGATCAAGGTTTGCTTGTCCTGTCGGCAAGCAGTCATAAGTGGTCAAAACTTCACTCCTCTCAGCTGCTATCCTCTCTGATAATGACATGTACCACCAGTGCTTGCATTTCATATGACCACTGTTTGACCTACTAGATCTAGAAACAGAAACGTTTGAACAACTCCTTTGCTTCCATTGCTTCCACCCTTAGCCCCACCCATCTGTGTAATAAGCAAAGTCAACCAATGCCACCCCTCAAGGCCATGTAACAACGATTCGAGGAACTCTTTTCTCGGCTGGCTGTACGCTCAGGGCGGCAGGCATTGGTCAACAAACTAATTTCACTCCTCTGTCCTCTGGCTACCAATGAAAGTTTCCGTGCTGGAGCGCCACTCGAGCACTTTCACTGGCACTCGAGAGATTTCACACCCACGCCACCCTGACCATCTCATCGCTCAGAGCTCACGCCTCACATATAGAGATGAGAGTAAGGAGGTATAGAGGGTAACATTTATTACCCTCCTATTGCGCCCCTACTCCCCTTCCTCGCCCAGCAGCATAGTGTGAAGTTTAGAGCCGGCGGAATACCACACTTGCGAGTTTTGTTTCAAATCATGCAGGGCTGAACGGGCAAAGCATTTTCCGTCTTAGACAGGTTATACCGGGTAAAGCCCTCGGAAGGGATGGATTTTTTCCCGTTTCCGCGTTGGACGGGTTACCGTTTTATACAGGTGATTAAAGAAGAACATATCAG